AGTCAAAGTCGCACATTGCGTGACTTTCATCATTTATAATAAAAACTGCATGATCATCATGCACGTTAGGGTCGGAATTCTGTGCATCCACAGCTCTTTTTCTCGGTCCAGTAGAGAGCCCCAACCCTACTGGTCGCTCCCAATTTTTTACCCATGAGAGCGTTCTAACCGAAGACTTTATAGCGTCCGCGGTTATTCGAACGAGCACCGTGTGTCTGTTGCCGACTCATCAAAGCCACTCTGCAGTTCTAGAAAAAAAACAACTTACCACAACGACAACACTTTCCATCGTTGCGAGGACGCTCAATTTCAGGCTTTAAAATGTACGAGATGTCCATTGGCTCTGGTCCATCATTTGTAACGGTCGACTGGCTAGTTTGCTTTGGTACGACGCCTTTGAACTTGGCTTGCTTAATGCTGAACTTTTCTTGTATCGTGAGAGAGGCTCGTTCTCTCCACCACGGTGCAAAGACACGTTCAATTTCAATGGCATCGTTCTGTTTGAAGAAACAGGGGTTGCGGCCTGCTTCCAAGATTCCATAATCTCATGATGCATGAAACTGAAAACTGCGCTCTTCTGTTCATCCAGAGAAGACGACTGTAGTAAACTGACTACTGCAGCGTATCCAATGACTTCTCGCATCCGCTCAAATGCCATCCCCTCATGCAAAGACAATTAAGGGAATATTTCATTTGTCAACACCTCAGTTTGCGGTACTGACGAACCGGGTGGTACTCCAACCCCTTCCATATCGCTCGCACAATGACTAGAGTATGGCATGGACTGGAATGTGTGACGTACTCATCAGCCGCGTCGTCAAACTAAAGTCGAGTGCCGTTGAAACGACCGCTCAAAGTACTCAAATTTAAATGGGCACTGTTTGCAAACAGTCTCTCAAATACAACACACACGTTTGTGCGATGAGGAACCACCCCCGACATGGAGGGAGAAGGATAGTCCCGACTTGGAGGGAAGAAGATCAAGCTAAGCATTCTTAGGCGAGTTTGCGAATGAATTAAGAATGAGTTATGGTGTTAGCTACATGCAAATCACCCCCAAGGACTCCTAGAGGTTTTACTGGTAAAACTTGGATTCCTGATATATAAAGCAAGGATGTACTGAAGTCAAACCTCAGATTAAATTCATACAAGATCTCGGGTGTAAGGAGCCTAGACTTCGAAAGCTCGAAAGTCAACTTCCGTGGAAAGTATCCAGAACTGGCTTACGCCACACACTTTTGAAGACAGAGACACGTCGATCTCGTCACCAGTACAAATCCCTAAATAAGGACCAGCATTCTGTAACACACAAAATGTTTATGACTTCATAAATGAAACCACGTATGCATTTGGGAGCGTAATACTGTAATCTACTTTTATTAATCCCCACAATGCATACAGAAGGAACATTAATGTCCCTTCACGTAATGGCTAAGTGTAGTCCATTACACCATCTGCATGGCGCTATCTTCTCCATCATCGATAATTTACATGTCGAACATTTGGAGTCGAGGAGTCAGGGTTTGCTAGGGATTTTTCATCAATTAGCGTTTTTGTATGACTCAACAGACTCGGATGAGTCGGTCGGAGTTTGATTCGGCTGATTTCTTGGGAAATGTAGTAATCCCATTCGTGATATCACTTGCCCATGACATTTATGCAGGCATCTGACGCTTAGCGTTGGATAGTCGAACGCGACGCTGAGCTCTTATAAGAATCTCCTGACGTTTTTCCTCTTTGGATGTAAGCGAAGGAAACATACTGGTTCTATATCAAATGTACCATAAAAAACGAAGTGAGTAGCCATAAATACTCTATGCAATAGCTCGGCATAACCGAGTCATGACGAAAGGGTAGATACGAATAACAGATACGATTTCGATATTTAGAAGATTTATATAACGATGCTTTATGCACTGGAATGGAATTTATGCACTGGAATGACACTCCAAAAAATGCTTACAACTCATGTCGATTTTTTCGATTGACTACTGTTTTGCGAAAATTTGCGCGT